GAACGAAGTAAAGTCCGTCTCTCGTTCTCTGCCGCTCCTTCGCTATCTCTCGCTCCAATGGACGATGAGACAATAGGGCGACGTTTGCGAGACGCGATAGCAGTCGGATTAATTCTCGATCGATTTCCAAGGGAATGGAAGCCCTCTCGACCCTCGGAATTCGAGCGTTCTCCGCGAATACGCAACTTGTTGTTCGTGGATTAACTTCCTGCGAATTTTAAGATTAGAAACTGATGAATGGACCGACGCGTTGATGATATTAATATACCGTAACATTAATCAAACTGTTGAAGATCGAATTGTCTTGGAGTGCTCGGCGAAGAAAACGCCATCAGCAAACGGGGGACGCTTCACGGTTCGCTCGAGTTTTGGCAAACGTACGCAGCCTTTTGATCTTCAATCCGTGCCTTCGATCATAGACGCGTCGCATATTCGGTGGCCCCAGAAGGCCGATGCAGCCACGCACAGCTACAAATGGCGAACAGACCTGAACGCACGCCAGAGATACTCTTTGTCCCCCCATCGCGTAAAACTCACGCGGTCCCCGGAGTACTTTGGCGATCTGTTCGATGCTCACTTTGGAACCTGTTCGCCGGGGGATTTCGCGTTATATTTTCCATTCTAGGCGAACGGAAGCGTCGGCCTCCTTTGATCTGACGGTACGCCGTCGCTGGGCTTTCAAGCTCGTCGATGCGACGGCCAGATGGTTCTGATAACAAATAATTTGATCCTCGACGTCGCGGGCCCTGCGCGCGCGCCTCCATTGCATTGTAAACATTTTATTAAACGGAACTGAAATCATACCCTCACACGGTCTTTTCTTTCTCCTCGCTAATGGTAACTTTCAAATTCCTAGAGAAGCATTGTATATATACTTGATACAAATCAGTTGCTGATTTTCTATAACTTATCATTTTTTATGGATAAGTGTATTCAGATAATCTCAATGTAGGTACATAGCCTAATTGTATTACGCATTTATAAGCGTTGCTAATAATCCTGTAGAGGGTTACACAGCATCCTATAAAAAAAAAAAAAAAAAAATTGAAATTATAAATCCAAGAAGTTTATTCGGTATCGAAATATTCGATAGTTATGTATTTACAAGTTGACGAGAAAAAAGTACAACGAAGCCATTAGGGCATATGGACGGAGCAAAGATCTCCCCTGAAACTATGCACGCATTAATTCATGATCGTGATAGTTTTTCTAGAGGAGGGTGCACGATTCCCTGTCGATGAACGCATGAGTTGTCGTCGGTGCGAGTCGATTTCAGGGTGGCTAGAAAATCGATGAACTTGTGGCAGGTCCTAGGACTAATCGTGATCGATGAGCTGGCGCGCAACGGCACGTGACTGGTGATCTATCGCGTGGAAACGACCGATCGCGATATATGGACGAGAAAACATTTTCGCCCTTTCGTCGGTTCGTCGTTCTTTTTCCGTCGACGCGACACGCTTCGAATCTTACTTCAAACAGTTTCGTTCGTCAAACCGTCTCTCCGTTCGCGAGACGAAAATAAAAACACAAGAGCTATCCAGATTAATTTCTGACCGATCATCGAAATCATAATCGGGTCAAGAATGCGTGGGCAACTAATTGCTCTCAAGGTTTCGACCCTCCGGACACGCATACCGACGCCATTCGATCGGATAGAAATCTCGAAATTATAGCCGGCTATATAGATGTTCCCGAGGACAGAAAAGCTCGTTAGACGGTCGTGAGTATCGATGACCCTCATTAGGTAATCATCTTTTAATTAAGCCCAACGAGAAGGGGAAAAAAGACGCCGCCGATCGGTCCGCGACCACGAGTCCGTGATTACCTTGCTCTACCGGTTCGACTGGAGGGGTTCGTGTCTTCGAATGGGGCCGACATACAACTTGACGCACTCTGATCTTACCTGTACGAGAGGGGATAGGTGCACCTCGATCTTCTGTCAGGTGCATTTTAAAAGCGCCTGCCTCAGCAGGAAACTCGTAATCCTCTTTTCCTTTGTGGCCGGCGACGACTTTTTCTACACAATACGTAACACGTGCCTCTTTCTTCGAGCAAGGCGACGTAATCGTATCGCGTTACGGTGCAGGCAAAATATTATGACTTCCGTGGCTCCGTCGCCGGCAACTGCAAGCAATAAATATCCCATCGGGCAAGTTACGATCACCGTACGTTTCGCGAGCGCAGGTTTCAAACAATTGTAATCGCTAAATATTTACATGACATATTTGAATTGTTTTAGAATGTATACTGAACACGTTACGACTGCATTTCTATTGCAACAACGTTCCCGAAGATGCGTCTGCGGAGATGACGAAAAACGTGATGTCATCGAAAGCGGATCTACGGAATACAGAGTTAATTGATACACAGAAATCGCAACTGACCTGCAGAGGATGGGTACGACGAAGGGATGGTCGTCGAACGGTTGTTTGACGGCACCATCCCCCTCCCTCCCCCCCCCTTCTCCACCTCTCTTCGCCGGAGCACGACAAACCTGGTATCGCATTCACGGTCCAGTGCCTCGGGATTCGGGTCTCCACCCTGCTTCTACGCTGTCTCCTCGTAAAAAAAAAGAGAGCGAGGGGAGGAGAGAGCGAGAAGGACAGCACGGCGTAGGCTACGCTACGCGTCGTCGACGATCCGTAACCCTCGATCGTCGGTTTTCAAACGTATCGCAAACATACTTAACAGATGGTTACATGAGGAACGCATTTGTCTTACAAATCGCGGTTTCGGTACGTCACCGTGTCTTCTGGTACGGAAACACTTTACCGAAGTGTCCGCTTATCGACGGAGATTTATCGACGACGGTTTACGGGAATTATTTATCGTCGAATACCTCCTCGTTCGCGGTCATAGGCGTTGACGATATCTTGGAAGAAGGTGTACAGGCGTCACCGATCCGTTTTGGATACTCGACGTCGCCCGTAGCCCAAACCTTTGCACCCGTGCTCGGCGTGAAATGCATCTCGCGATCGGATCGCGAGACGTGATCGCAGTCCCGTCACGCGTCCCTCGTATTCCAATACGGAATCGCGAGTGCGAATGTTAATCAGCGGACGGGAACGGAGAACGAAAGCAGGAGGGCGCCTTGGTGCAGAGTCCTCTGTAAAGAATAGATAAAAATAAGTGAAACACGAACGTCACGTTGACGCTTCTAATTCGCGTGATATTTCGTCCACGTTTGCGTAATGGATAATGGGATTTTTATTTCGCACGATTCGCTGGTAATTGTGGCCGAGTGTGGCGCAACGTTATTTTTGATATAATAACTCTGCCGCGCGAAAGTTATCTATCAAGAGGGCATAAGTCGTCGGTCGCGTGGTAAGAAACTCCACGGCGATATACACGGCAGGTGCGCGTGCAGACAGCTCGAGGCGCTTACCAGTTAATCATGGGGCGGGCAAACTTTTTTCTGAAAGGGCCCCGAGTAAGAAGCTGCGGGATTTACCGTGCCAAAAAGAGGTCACGCTATGCTAAAGCGAACGCAAGTCTTTTTAATCATCTTGTCAGGGTAGTATAATCCGTGGAAATCGTTCGTAAAAATTCTCACCACTGGGCTACCACTGCCGCAACAGGCATCGTTTACGCGTGAAAAAGATACGCCCGCAATAATGTTACGCGAATCGTACGAAATATTAACAAATTTTTGCACATCCACAATGTGCACACGATGTCCCGCGGTTTTCCCGCCAAATCCCGAGAACGTGATCTAGAAATCAAAAGGAGAAATAATAATAAATATGAAGAAAATCTACACTTTCGATAAATAAATAAATAAATAATATTACCAGAATTGTAGAAAATATTTAAAGTTAGCTTGGACAAGCGAGGTTAGTTTGACGTCGCGTCATCGATGGAATGCATAGTTCCTGTTGAAATAAGAAAATAGGTACATGTTTGCAAAGATAACGCTTGATCTATCGTGTACGTCGAGCGGAGAGTCGACTCGAGGGAGATGAAAATGAATGAACGTAACAGTAAGATTCTCATTTCGCCAGCACGCATTGGCTTTTTGCCAAATCGTGAGCGCGAACCATTAACGCGCGGGATTGCTTATCAGTTGCTGAGTCCGCGTTATTGCGTCGACGATGACCAACCGAGCGACGGCAGTGTTTCTGTCCCTGTGCCACCTAGATGCCCCCACGTCTCATAACTCGCCAGATATCGGTCATAAATGACGAAAGCGATCACATTCGCGGGAACGTGCGTCCATGATATCGACCCTCCATCGATTAATATACTATTCGCACGTTGTAGAAAAACGGTCGCGCAAATGAAGATTCCCTTTCTTCCTTTGACGTTGCTTTATTCGATAAATATCGATGCTCAACATCAATAAATTTTTACATTCGTAAAGAAAAAGGTTAAAAATTTGATAGGATGCAAATTGAGGTTATAAAAATAGTCCCTATGCGACAATGACTTTTGGTCGACAATCGGTAGCGCTAAGTGTCAACGTTTACGCGAATGTGTGCATGTATGATAAAATGGCGTTTATACACGATGAAAGAAGATGAAAAGAAGTAATAACAACTATTTTATAACATGACAGTAACGTAGGGAGCGTAGATGTTATAACAATACTGCCGACAACACCCTACGTAGTCACCCTATACTCGTTTACCATTTACATCCTGGAATAATTGATTACCGCGTAACCTGTAATTGTAGGTTACCGCGCATTACAATAGAAAACGTTCATTTTTACCTGGATTTTGTACGATCCAATGTCAAGCCACGATCGATCGAGGATCGCATTTCGAATTCGAACGGAATGTCATCGCGATGAAAAAAAAACCAGGGAATAATAAAAAATATTTAACGAAAAGAAAAACGATAATTCGTAACCTACGAACATTCAAATATGGCGGAAGAAATCGCGTCGGCGGTACAGTGTTGCCAGTACGGAAGTGCTCGATGACGCTATTGCTCCCTCCAAAACCGCGCGTGCATTGGCAGCATTGTTTTTTGGTAGTTTACAAATAAAATGGCCGATATATGAGGCTATTTTGTATGGACAATAAAATAAGCAATTCTGTAAAATTAATGACCATCGGCCGTTCGTGTATGTACGTCAAAGTACAGGTACAGTGTCGTGAAACACGAGAAAAGAAGGTGAAGTGTAAGTGAGTGTGTGGGAGTGCCGTGAGAAGAAGGTGGAGGTTGTCTTTCAAGACCCGTGGACGCCGCGGTCCCGAAGACCGAAACGAGGAATCACTTACGGACTCTAATACATACAAAAGCCAGCCGACCGCTGTATTTTTTCCATTGGCGCGCGGTGGCGCGGCAACTAAACGAAAACGACTCTAGGTTTACGGAACCTAGTTTACAGCACGCAGGCCCCCTCTGCCGTCTGCTCCAATTCTTCAAGCACTCTCGCTTCGCCTCCTAAACACTGTGTGTTCCTAAGTCTGGCAAAATAATACTTGGGAACACGCCGTCTTACCCGGTCTTTATATGTCACACATGATAACCAGTGCACGGTGGTGACCACCTTGCAAACATATCTTTATGCATACTGCTTATCCATACATCTTGGATAGTACTGCGACAGCCACAATATTATTGTACCACAGAGCCACTTTAGGCAGATATGATTCCCAATCTTGAAACCCAAGGCCGAGATACTGGAGTGTGACGGGTACGTTTACTTAGAACCTTTCAAAATATTTCCCGCCGACCAATTTGTTGTAGTGGAAAGAAGTGGTGCGGACGATGCGTTGACAGAGACGGAGGGGCCCACGAGCACTGCGTCCAGCCAGCCCACCCCCTCCGTTACCCCCCTGTCAAACATGTGCACCACTCCTGGCAACGTGGGCACAGGGTTTGGGTATACCTGGTCCTTTGGCGGACCTGGTGCGGAAACCCGAGAAAATGCACAGGGTGAACTTACTACGAATATTAATTACGCTGTGAATAATAATCAGGATCAAGGTACCAGTCAAAAGATACAGGTTGATATCAAGCCTACAAAACTTACCAATAGTACGCATCGTAGACCAATGTTCGCTATGAACGAAACTTGTCAACAGACCCCCACGACCCACCATGGCCATACAGCTGGAGCTCATAATCAAACGCATGGCACGCATGTCCGTATTAAAAAACAACATGATGTATTTTCATTAACATGTGACAAAGGAGGTTGCAATTGTGATGCTGCACACCCAACACCCCCACCTTCTCTATTTTCAAATACACTAGTTTTTACCACAGCTGACAAGCACGCCATGAGTAAGCATTTCATGACACCCCTTGGACCATTACAACTTACGGCGGAAGAATGCAATGAGATTTTAATGAAAAGAGCGGCTGCTGCCTCAAATCAAGCCAGTGTAAACAATGTTGCAACGAGCCAGACAGACAGCACTGCTCATTTTGGACATGTTTTAACGCATGTCAATACCACACAAATTGAAACAAAGGTCAAACAGCAGCAAGACATGGGAAGCCAAGTACGGGTACCAAAGGAAAGGCCATATTCTTGTTCGGAATGTGGAAAATCTTTCCTCCTCAAGCATCACCTTACAACGCATGCGAGGGTGCATACTGGAGAACGACCTCATATTTGTGTTCATTGCGGAAAAAGTTTTGCACACAAACATTGTCTTCATACTCACCTGCTCCTTCATAGCGCGGATCGACCGTATCAATGCCGCGAATGTAAAAAGTCTTTTACATTAAAACACCACCTGGTAACGCACACGCGTGTACACACGAGAGATCGGCCATTTATTTGTCAAGAGTGTGGGAGAGCATTTCCTTTAAAGCGTCACCTAGTGACTCACAGTAAATTCCATTCAGGAGAAAGACCTTTTGTTTGCGAAGAGTGTGGAGAGTCGTTTTCGCAAAAGGACCACCTCACAATGCATTCGCGCTTCCATGGCAGTTTACATCCATTTGTTTGTCACGATTGCGGGGCAACCTTCCAGAGGAAGTTTGAGTTAGTGAATCATGGCCGTCTACATGGCAGAGTTCCACATTCGTGTACTGTTTGCGGAAAGGAATTTCTGCAAAAGAGAACACTATTGGCACATATGCGTTTACATACAGGGGAAACTCCATTTGCTTGCACGGTTTGTGGAGAAGCTTTTCCTAGGAAAACAGACCTGGTTGCCCACTCTAAAATCCATAACAACAATACTAATACAGATGAAAAGCCTTTGATGTGCAGGTAAGCAATGTTTTCGATATCCATGTATAAATCTTCTCTGTTCTGACATGTTACATATTTCAAAACATGTAATTGTATAACAATCATAATAAAGATATAGTTGAATAAATTTTAAGTAAACATCTTTAAATTTTGTTTCTGTTTCATCCAGTATGATGTCACTAAGATGTTTCCATTCTACGTAAAAAAGACGTTTTTATGTCTTTCACACACTTATGCTACACGTACTATTTCAGGGAATGTGGATTGGACTTCTCGAATCGAGAAGCCCTTACTTTGCACTTAAGGTTACATTCTGGTGATCGAACACTTGTTACGGATCTTTGTGGATTAGCAGCCGCCTTCCAGCAAACTCCTGGACACTTCCTTACTCCCAACACCCCAGGAACCCATCAGGTATCACCTATATTAGTTTAACATATAGAACGCGCTTGTTAAAACGTTCGAGTTTACAGATGAATGGACCCATTGGAAACCCCGGTGTCAGCCATATGCACGGTGCGACGCAAACATCACCACCAGTCGGAACAGGCCCAAAACCGAAACCACATGTCTGTCCTGATTGCGGTCGTGGTTTTGCACAGAAACACGGTCTGTCTCAGCATCAACGGCGTCACACGGATGGCAGTTGCCACATACGATCCCATGTGTGTGATAAATGTGGTAAAGCCTTCTACCAGAAGAACCATTTGTTACTACATCAACGTCAACACATGGATCCTCCTCCAAGTATACTTCGGCAGCAACAGAGGCAAGCTGCGCAAGCTGCTGCCCAACAAGCACAACAACAACAACAAGCGCAGCAACAGCAACAGGTGCAGCAGCAGCAACAGGTGCAACAACAACAACAACAAGTGCAACAACAACAGGTGCAGCAGCAACAGGTGCAACAGCAACAGCAACAACCTCAGCCGCAACAGCAACAACAAACGTGCACTGTAGACACAAAAACGATACAGCTTCAAGCGATACAGCAACAAGTGCAGCAACAAGTTCAACAACAGGTACAACAACAGCAACAACAACAACAACAACAACAAGCGTGCTCTGTGGACACTAAAGCAATACAGTTAAATGTTACTATGTGAGACGATATAGAAAGTGGGGACTGGACAGTCCCTGGAACAATAGCACTCCCAAATGCGCACTCGGCTGCCACCCTCTGCACGCACTTCTCTTGTACTAACAATACACATTAGATATATTTATTATCTCTAGAATCGAATACGAAGTAATCAATTTTATTACAAGAGTATATATACAAAGTATACATATTATATTCTAAATATGTAAGGCTTGTAACAAGAAAATAAAAATAACCATATATTAGTGTTTTACATATACTTTATATATCATTTACTCTAGATATGTAAAATGAAACTAAACAAATTAGTTGCCTTAATGAAATGAAGAATTTTAATGAATATATTAACTATTGTTTGGTGATCTTTTTTTTCATTTACTTTTAATTAGTAGGACATCACTTTATAAGAAAACGCATATTGAATAAACAAACATAAAAAAGAATAAGTTTTTTATGTACTACTGCTTTGTTATCCTTCATGCTGTGCTTGTATGGTGAAAGTCGAAAGAAACGTTTGATCGTGTGAGTGATCGGTAAAGATGAGTATGTAGAATGTATCAAGAAAGAGGAAGAGGGTGGCAGACAGCGCATTTATGAGACATTGAAATTGTAGGTCTGCCCGAGCATAAAAATGAATGGTGTCTATAAACGTATTTTTACGTTACGTGGTTTGTGCAATTTGTTTAACAAATTGAAGAGAATTAAGAGCGCAAGAGAATTACAAAATTTATATTCCATTAAATGGTCATTAATAATTTAAAGAATTCGTAGATTCGAGCACATTTTGAATCCGTGAAACATTTTATTTTCATTTTTTATACAACCGTACTCTTTCAATTTCTAAACTTCCGTGCTTTCCTAGGTTCGCAACTTAGACTTTTTTACTTTATAATATCGGAATGATATGCGTGAAAGGCGTTCACATGTTCTCGGAATAGCGAACTTTTGTAATAGTTTGTCAGAGATATGTAATAGTTGATAGAACTGCGCAAAAAAAAGAAAGAAGTAATAAAGGTAGCTTTCCTACATAGTTTTAACACATATCATATTTTTCCAGACAAATACAAGCACGCAGTTCGTTTCCAGATTTACGTTAAAGTAAAAAAGAAGAAAAAAAAGTTCGACGATAATATATTGTAAGACGAGCTTTACCTTTTGTGCAATACTCGCGTTTAAGATGTTCCTTTTTTTTGCATTCCTGCCTGCGTGTACAAGAGACGGATTATTATGTCAAAATCACATTCTGCCCAGACATGTAAAAAAAAAAAATAAATGGGGTACGCGATTAATTAGTATTTCTATTTTTGAAACCACAAACGTGTACAATCAAATTCACATTTGCACTCGTATCATGTATCCTCATTAAAATTATCTAGTCACAAATTTGCTAGATTGTCTCGCACATTTTCTAAGAGTTTATAGCATCGTTATATCAGTTCCGAAATTTCCCGCGCGTTGCAATTCAGATAACGTAGCAAAGAAAGGAAAAAGGTAATGTTGTCGCGAGCGATCTCTGGCGACGATGTCCGGAGAGAAATGGAAACTCGGATGGCGCATGCGCACAGGTCATCGTATACCGTCCCGCCTGCGGACGAACCGAAATAAATCGAACGACGCCGAGGCGATCAGCGGTACGGTGCTCGCTGGACGCGACTGTTTCGCGTTAGTGATGATCGAAACGAGTCGTCGTGGTCGTTGTTTGCGGCATTTCGCGAAAACGAAGGAACCGTGATCCGTGATCAAAGGCTCGAGGTGCAGAAGAGGCCGAGGACACGCGTCGTCGCTCGTTGCCGCGGCCACGGATGCATATGGAGGTGCGTAAACCCCTCGTTTTGATGCACCCTCTTCTTATGCACGCGTTCTTTGTTTGCTTTGACAACACCACGTAAATACAAGACCGAGCTAGTGCCTGCACACAACTGCCATTTTGCTGTGGTCCGATCGTAACCGTTCCGCGAAACGCTACGTCCCACAAACAATCGAAAGTGCAACGGTTCGCGTTTAACCACGGTGAAAATTGTTATCGACGATGCCCCTGGGCTCAGTCCGAAGACTCGTCGTACGCGAAACCCGTTAATCTTGTACGATGTCTCGTCCAGTTTCTCTGATATCGATGGCCGTAACATCGTAACGCGGTCGAGGAAATTTACGCTCGTGTTGTTTTTCCCATTCGGTCTGTGCTTCGAACGACGCAATACTATTTTTTTTTTTCCCAAGTCTTCCTGCACTTGGCGTGCAATTATTCAGGCCATCGGGACAGCATCGTGTTCGGCCAAATCGTGCTACATGTGTTTCGTGCGACGATGATCGTTCCCTTGGAAATAGAAGGAAGATTAAATGTACGTGCGCATACGGCATCAGACTTTGTGTACGCTCTCAGCTGACGGGGGCCTGTCAGCTGCCTTACACGAGAAGATCAGGGCCGTCGCTTTGTGGCGTTCTGCGCGATTTTTCCCGTTACCTCGGTCGTTACAATTTTCTCACTGGTGTTCCTTTCATTCACGTCTTATTGCGATCCTGTACCGTAATCAGGACTTTTCCACTTGGTAACAGTGCAAAATCTGCCATATCGAACGGGTCTGTCGTCACGTCCACGCGTATGTGTGTGCGTGTTCACGCGCGTGTGTGTGCCTGTGTTTGTGCGTGTGAGACAAGAATCTTTCATTTCGTTGTTAATTGATAAATCGCGTCGAGACCTTCGCGAACTCGTCGAACATGTAATTACATTTCCATTGACATATTTTCTTGTTTCCCGTTTCTTTCGACTTATTTATATATATATATATACATATGTATATATTTTTGACGTTGTTATTAACCTCAGTGCAGTAACGTCAACGGCGTTATAGTACGCACATTTACGACGATAAATTTCACTGACATTTAACCGGCAATGTCACCAGATAATGCGCGCTGGCTTATGTTTTGTACACACTCGCAGCTGATTCAACCGTCGCGTCATAAAAATGTTTCGAACCGTATTATCTTTCCATGCGCGCGTGTGTACTCTCCCGCGATGTGTTTTCTTCTTACCGTGATGCGGAAGGCTTCGATCGTTCTGGAAAAAAAAAAAAAAAAAATACCTACATAATACCCAACGACACCCCCTCCTTTCCCCTCGGTCGCGTGTAGCCGCGGTAAGACAGCGACAGAGAGAATTGACGTAACGCTTCTCTGTCCGCGTTTCCCGACGACCAAACCGCGATCGATTTTTCTATCGTAAATATTTGGCGAAGCCAGCAAACACCGACTCGCTAAAATCGTTCCCGCCGGATGGGAACGATTCCGACGCTGGCCGTCTATTTTCCTTCTGCCTATCGATCGTAATTCGACTACGGTTTCTTGAGACAGAGCCTTCCCCGTTCGTCGTGTGCCGCCTTTCGAATTTAATAGACCGAGAACAGCACAGCGTGCGTGGATGCGCACGAAGCGCGCATATTAAAGTGCAATTCGCTTTGAAAGCGACATCCGTCGTCGTCAGGACGCTTACATGGAAAATTAAATATGCGCGACGAGTGACGAAGGACGATGACCCGAATTAACTAAACTCGAAGCTGCTGGCTGCTCCGCGCTTGTTCCTCTCCCGGTGTGTTTATTTAAGTTGCAGTGGCGTAGCTTCGCGCGACTCCCGTCTGGATAGAGTCGCGTCGTTCGAAGCGTGGAAAGCCACCGTTGTCGAATAAGTTTCTTTAACCGTTGCCGCCTGTCGCCACGCGTGCGAACGCTCCGCGGATACCGCTCTTGCTCTTTCTCTTTCTTCACGAAAAACCATTTTCTATGGCTTCTCGAGCTGGAATCCTTTGGTTGCTATGGGCGCGCTCGGCCGGCCAGTCGATCGACACAAAGCGTGCGACGAACGCTTATAGGCGTTCCGCGAACACGGTCGACGAACGCGTCTACGGGATTTCCGCACGCGATTTTATGTCAATCTCTCAAATCTTCCATCGAATTCACGATTATCTCATATACATATAAATGCAGTTTTATTTAATAATTTTTTGTCATCGTATATTAATATAAAAAAAAATTATATAACACTTTCGACAAGCATTACTCTTCTAGCGTCATTATTGCAATCGGTGTGCAACTTCGTTTGAAATTCAACGCGAAATTACGGTAATTAGCAGTAATTAATAATTGTTATCGACGCGTAATGTGCCACGATTCGGTGCACTCGTTTCGTACGAGTTTTCTAATCCGTGGATCGCGATCACGACGAGACGTTTTGTGCAAGATAAATACGTAGTTCCGTTCGCGCGAACTTGTGGACCTGTTGGACGACGCTTTTGTGTACGTTTACAGCTGATTGGGCTGTCAGCTGGGCTACGCGATAGATAGAACCGTACCCAGGCTGGCCAACGCACGTTCCAGAACGCTCTCCAAGGGGGCCCCTCTTGTTTTTCTCCTATTTTTTCTTCTCCGCTCTTTTCCAGCGGAGGCACTCGCTGTGCGACGCCAACGGGGGCAATGGCTCTTACAATCTTTAAACTTATCCCCTGCCGACAATGAGTTGCACGCGGGTTGGGATGGAAGCGTAGGGGTTACACGACGCGCGTATAAATACTTGTGTAACGTAAATATAAATACTCTCGCCGTATTTGGCGGATCTACGTGTTAATCATCGACACGGATCCTTTTCTCTTGCACAAACGTCCGTCTTCGCGTAAATTTATTGACCGTGCACGTGACGAGTGTGTACGTTTCGCATTTTTTTTTTTTTATTTTTTTCTGCATCGTTGCGAGTGTCCAGTGAGAAAAAGTGTGATGAACAGTGGCGCGAGTTCCGGATCCCGTACGCGCCGAGGAGCACGTAGCAACGTACAAAAGATCTCGCACGAACGTGTTTATTCCACGAACGGACTCGTCACACGAGCGTCGAGAATTCTGACAGGCCATGGAGAATTCCCCATTCATTAATCGAAGAGCGATACGTCACAGGTAGACTTCCGTTAAAACGTATTTTATCGCCGAGGCACGACCACGCGTATTATTTTCTTCGCTCGCACTTGATTAAACTCGGCGTCGGTGGTGGTGGGGGCTCGCGATCAAAAACCTCGCTATTATCATTTATCACTCTGCGCCTGGTTCGTTGTACGTGCGTGACCTATGCAACTACGCCTCGCATTTTCTTCAATTTCTTTTTTTTCTTGCACGTTTTCTCCTCTCATTTTTCTATCGCGTTGCAGGCCATTTGCGCGATATGGTTCTCTAA